AGCAACAACAACAAAAAAAAGAAGTTAACCTACTGATCCAGAGCTTCATTCTGCATTAAAAGAGTTGATAAAAGAAGGGGTTTCAAATTCCCTCACCCACGGGCCCTGCGCTGCTGCTCTGGGGCTGCTTTTTCTTGCCAAGGAGAGATCATCATCTTTTTGATAGGACAAGACAATTTTTCAGGAGAACTCTGAAAAATCTTGTACGTTTTTATTGCAATTCATGGGCAATATTCACTTCAACATCAAGTACCAATCCCTTCATCCCCCAGCCTGGTGTTGGTACTGGGGGTTGTGCCAACCCAAGTGCAGGAGCCTGCAGTTGGTCTTGTTGAACCTCATGAGGTTCACACGGGCCCACTTCTTGAGCATCTCCAGGTCTCTCTGGATGGCACCCTGTCCCTCAGGTGTGTCAACCACACCACTTAGCTTTGAAGATTACACCAAAAGTGTTTACAATGAGGGTGGTGAAACACTGGCCCAGGTTGGCCAGAGGGATTGTAGATGCCCCATCTCTGGAAACATTCAAGGTCAGGTTGGACGGGGCTCTGAGCAACCTGATTTAGTTGAAGATGGCCCTGCTCATGGCAGGGGGGTTGAACTAGGGTGACCTTTCAAGGTCCCATCCAATCCAAACTATTCTATGATTCTAAGACCCTGTGGCCCATAGTAATCCATTTTGATTGCTCCTTTACTTTAAAATAAATCATTTTCCTCCTCTGCGTTGTTTCCCTGAAGCCTGCAAAGTGTCAGGAAACTTCTTAAAATGTTGGAAGTGGTGGTCTGAGGAGGACAAGGTTGCCACGGCAACTGCCCTGTGTTTTTTGAGATGTATTCCTGCATCTTTCCAAGCAAATCAGGAGTGCCACGAACCGTTTGTTGCAAAGAAAACAAGGCGATAGAAAAAGAGAAGAGAAAAAAGCACCGAGGAGTCAGTTGTTGTGAAGGTGAGATGCGATTAGCTTTTTCACAGGTTTGGGACTGGTGAACAGAGGGGTTGTCCTGCAGGTCAGGAGGTCGAGCACATCCATTCCCCTTCTAGTCTTGGGCTTTTGAATCTGCTGAAGGGAATTAATGCTGTTATGTTATCAGTGCACATAATCTTTGGGTCATTGAGAACTGTCTTTGAGAAAGACAGACAGTCAGTGCCATATGGTTCCATTCTGCTGCAGTTAATGCAAGGGAAAATATACCTGTGAGTTATCTGAGGGCTTATTTTTTTAAGGAAGAGAAATTAAAAGAGTTGCAGGCCATCAGATGTGTGGGTTCTGGATGCAGGGTCTTCTGGGACTGTTCAGTATGAGGAAGAGGAGGCTGAGGGGAGACCTCATCACTCTCTACAACTACTTGAAAGGACGCTGTAGAGAGGTTGGTGCTGGTCTCTTCTCACAGGTAATTAACAATAGAACGAGAGGGAATGGCTTCAAGCTCCAACAGGGGAGGTTTAGACTGAACATTAGGAAGGAATTTTTCACAGAGAGAGTGGTCGGGCATTGGAACAGGCTGCCCAGGGAGGGGGTGGAGTCACCATCCCTGGCTGTGTTTAAGGGACGTTTAGATGGGGTACTGAGGGACATGGTGTAGGGGAGGACTTTGTAGAGTAGGGTTGATGGTTGGACTCAATGATCCCAAGGGTCTCTTCCAACCTGAATGACTCTATGATTCTTTGCTGAGCCGGCCGATGGCTGTGGGTGAGAAGAAGTGTCAGACGTGATTGCCTGTCAAACTTTATATGAAGCTTTTAGAGGTTGGGTCCAGCCCTTTTTTTTCCCTCCTGTGAGTGGCTAAGGTGCTGTTAGACACAGATTTTTGGTGGCAGGAACGTGTCCCTGTTAAAAGCAGACAGACCAGAGGGAGGAAGGGATGTGGCATCCTCGGTTCTCCCGACCGCTCTGGTTGGGTGGGAAGCTCAGGGTCGTTTCAGCAGGTTCATTTGAACGCCATTCCAAGCTTCATATGATTTTAGTGTTACAAAAGCCAATCGGGTTATTGTTTTAAGGTGTAAGATGCCCCTGAGGGCTTTGCTCACTCAACTGTAGGGGGGAATTAAATGCTCTCAGGCGGCGCAACAGCCTCATTCTCTCCCGGTGTCGCAAGGCAAGGCAGTCATTGCTGGTAAATGGGCTCCATATTACAGTGACATTAGCATTTTAATGCAACTAAAGAGGAGGTAGATTGACTGTAATTCAGTATCTGGTTGCATGGTCCCCTCATCCCTGCTCCACAGGGGCAGCTCATGGTTATGCTGCGCTTTGGAGCTCGTCTAATTGGATTTGTCCTCCCCGTCATGGCAGCGACTCTGCTCTGCAAGCACTACCAAATTCCGGTGCAATTAGGTATTTATGTGGGAGCAATAGTTACAGGCTAATGCGTGGGGCCGACAGCTCGTGCCAAGCTCCAGTTCAGCAGCAGCAAATGTTGTACTTTATTTATATTTTTTTCCCCGAAGCCATTGGAAGGGAGTGATCTCAATCTGATCCCGCTCCCACAGAAGATGTTTTCTCCTCACCCTTCACCATAAAAGCACTGACCCATTGCAGAGATGAGGCAGGATGTGAATTCTGCCTTCAGCTTCTCCTTTGGCTCGGCGTGCCAAAGTTTGGCTGCCACGTGCTTTGGTTTCTCTAGATCCTGCAAATGTGGTGAGCGAAGGGGACCGGCAGTAGCTGGAGGCACTCGTGAAGCAGGACACCCATAAACCATTCAGCTGATGGCCAGGAAACTGGATTTTTCTCCCAGCGATAGGCCTTGCTTCACCATCTTGCCCCCTCCATTCATTTCTCATTTCATGATACCTTCCTCTTTTTGCCCCTTCCCTCTTTGCTCTGGCTCACCGACTGTCCTTCTGGCCGAGTGAGCCCAGCAGAAGACATGACTTCAGCTGTTTTTCCTTCATCAAAGCCTTCTCCTCCCAAATTGCTGCTCTGAAAGCAGCAGATGGGCCAAAAAGAGCAAGGAGACACAAGGCAGTGGCTGGAAGTTGGGGGAGAAGGTGTCCAAGGCAGATGCTCACCCAACTGAGGGACCACAGCTCACACCCAGACGAGGAGCCATGGTCCCAGCCCTTACTCCAACTTCCACCCTGTTTTCCCCGGCAACTGTAATTAAAGGCATCATCAGCTTGCTCCAGCCACAATCAGGCATGATGGTTTTGCACTTTCTGCAGTTCTCCCTAATGAGCAAACCGTAGCTCTGAACCAGAGAGAGCCTGTCTGGCAGGGACTCCCTCCCCTTTGGTGCCACGGGGTGGGATGGAGCATCGCTGCCGTTTGCCACCAAACCCACTCTTTCATCCCTCCCGACACAGCACCTGCTGGTACCTACTGAAGCATTTAAGCTCTTCCTCTCTGTGGTGCTGTAATTTCTTTAAAATATTGTGACTTAAGAGGAATAATAAAAAAAAATAATAAAATTCCTCTCCCACGCAGACCTTTGAGGGCTTGTAGAGATGTAATTATGTGCACACGCAGTAGGAGCAGGAATCCCATCATTCTGGTTATTTTCCTAATGGTGGGTTTATATAGCAGAGTGTCATCTCTGCTTTGAAGTCAGAGCGATCTTCTCCTGGCAGCAGCTATCCCAGGCTGGTGGCATCACAGGGTAGGACAATGAAGAAATTGTCTCCCTATTGCGCACGTAAAACACAGGGTGAAGTGTCCCCACCCACGAAAGAAAAAGATAAAAAGGGTAAGGATGGAGACCGGGCTCTGGCTGTCAAAAAGGGGCTCTCTGCTGTGGGGTAGTGACACAAGTTCTCTTGCACTAGCTGTAGACTCCCCAAGCCTCCAGATTTCCAAAGGGATAAGCCATCCCAGCTCATCATTCCCAAATGTAGGTCCGCAGTGACAGAGGAAGGGCGTTGAATGTGAGGGATTAATGCAAACCACAAAGTCTATGAATATTCATTATACGGTTTAACATTGTAATAGTTTCAGCCACCTTGAAAGTCTTTGTTTGCTTCCTGCCAGCGGCGAGCGGCAGAAATTTTACACCCAGAAGTCGTGACGGGAGGCAAATTTCTCAAATGTTTGTGACAACCTCATCAGACCTCATCACTCTCTACAACTACTTGAAAGGACACTGTAGAGAGGTTGGTGCTGGTCTCTTCTCCCAGATAATTAATGACAGAATGAGAGGGAACGGCTTCAAGCTCCAACAGGGTAGGTTTAGACTGAACATTAGGAAGGAATTTTTCACAGAAAGAGTGGTCGGGCATTGGAACAGGCTGCCCAGGGAGGGGGTGGAGTCACCATCCCTGGCTGTGTTTAAGGGCCGTTTAGATGTGGTACTGAGGGATATGGTGTAGGGGAGGACTTTGTAGAGTAGGGTAGATGAGCTAGATGATCCCAAGGGTCTCTTCCAACCTGAATGATTCTATGAGAAACCGATGTTAAATGCACCCCCCCTCCAGGAATCACGGTGAGGAGCTGGCAGCGAGAGCAGGGACAGACCCAGGTGACTTATCTGGTCCCTTGGGGAGAAGTGGTGGCTTCAGCAAAGCTGCTTCCCAGGCGGTGACGATGAGGCAGAAGGAGGGGAAATATTTTCCTCCGCGCGTCTCAGGCCATCGCTCCTAACGGCCGGGCTGGGCTTCCCAAAGAGCCATCCCATCTCCCTTCCTCTGCCTTTTCCATTTTCCTGCTAAATGGGCTGTGAAGTCACAGCAGATTAAAGTTTGTCTAAACCTCCTGTAAAATATTGAAGGTGCAGCTGGTATTAATCTAGTCCTCTTGCGGTGCGAGGTGCGCGTGGAAAGGGGCTATCGATGTTACCCCTGGTCTGTGGGCAGTTAAAACACCCCAAAGGTTGTTAAAGAGATTCTGAGGAACTGGGTCCCTCACTGGGTATTAAAAGCTCTTCATTAGTGCTAATGTACGCTGAATTAAGGTGTCAATTAGACCGAGCGTGTTCATCAGGATGGTGCGTTTTAATAAATTGTGTATTTAACGTGATTGTGTTTTATTGACTTCTACAGTAATTGCATATTTTTCTCTTTACAGGACAAGCTTGGCTGGAAAGAGATACATGGGACACACAGAGAATTAAAGGCTGGAATAGGCACTCTGCTTCAAGTCCCAGGATTTGTGAAGGTGAGTCTTGTTCAGGGCTCTTCCTTTCTCCATCCCGCGTCCTTCCTCCATGTCTCTGCCATGGCTGGTTCAGTGTGATGTGCAGGAGAGGGGGTTTACTGCAGAAATCACCTCCCTCCTCTCTGGCCTCCTAATTAAGCTGCCCCTAATCTCTGTTCTATCTAGACTGTGCGGAAATAATACCCGGAGAGGGTTTTCTGGAAGGCACCACCCATTAGATGTCTTAGGAGAACCCACCACTTTGGTTTAAAGGAGTTGGGTAGTGCTTTGCAGCTAGAGAAAGCAGAAATCCTCTTGGGAGAGGGGTACTCTGGGAAGGAAGGCGAGCACACCTCCATACCTGCAAGCTAAAGGGTGGGCTGCCATGTTGTTGGGGAGAGGACGTAGTGGAGCGTTGCCACGTTGTGGTGGTCCTTCACCACTGGTGCAGCTTAGAGCTTCAGGGACACTTTGAGTGACATCTCAGCTGGGACAGCCTCTTGAAATGGATGCACTGACTTGGAAGAGAATCTGCTCCACATCTTCTAATTCCTTTAAAGGCTCTCTGTTGGTGGTTCTGGAGAGCTTCAAAGGTGTCTTCTGATTTTACTTGTTTGCTTTCTGCGTGAAGATGAAAGTAGGTGTGAGTGAGCACCATTTGCTCCTCAAGACTTTAGCTAATATTTTGTAGGAGGTGCTGCAGAGCTGGTTCTTAGGTTTTAAAGTAAGCAAGGGATGAGTTCAGTGGACAAGGTCTTCATGCATGTTGATGGCAAAGAGATACCTACATGAAAAGAAGATATAATGGACAGTGCAATAGAAGTGACTGAAAAAGGGGTTTGCATAAGGGTTGGCCAAGGTGACCTCTAGATGTCTCTTCCAATCTCGGTTATTCTGTGGTTTCTATCAAGTATCTGAGACGAGGAGACTGTCTTGAGTGATCAGGCAAGTGCACAACGTCTGAATTTTATGTGGTAAAATAGAAATAGACTGCAGAGGTATGTTAGGGGTGAGGATTACATGGTTGGAATGGTGGGCAAGGAAAATGGTTCACGCACTTGTTTTCGGTAGAGGGTAAGAGTGGTGTGATATGGGAGATGAGAGAATTGAGGGTGGTAAAGATAAGGTGCTCCTGACAGTTCTGATAGACTGGCACATCCAAGGGATGCTCTTGCACCTTCCACGACAAGGTGACTTGGACACACTTCAGGCAGCTGTTTTGAAAAAATCTTTTCATGAGGAGGGTAGTCAAATGTTGGAAGAGGTTCCCAGGGAGAGTGGGGAATTTCAGGCCTTGGAGATACTAAAACTTAACTGGTGGGACCCTGAGCCACCTGCTCTTGACTTCGAAGTTGGGATCAACCTTTGGAGTTGGCCCAGATTGGAGGCAGTGGGTGTTTGTACTCAATGACATCCAGAGGTCCTACCCAGCCTAAGATGTTCAGTGACTTCATCCCCAAGGTAAAGGAAAAATCACAGTGGAACCGCAGGCTTTGGTCTGGTGTGAAAGGGATGTGGTAGCAAAGAGAACCTTGGAAGCAGTTTTTTGGGGGTGGGGTTGAGCAGCTGCCTTCAGATATGGCAGGTTCAAGGTAGCTGCAAGGCGTGCGAAAGCAGATGTCAGAAGGAAGGAAATAAATGGTGGCTGGAGAACAAAAAAAAATATGCATTGCCTTGAAAAACTAGACATTATTCCCAACTGATTACAGCAGCTGGGGTGCGTTTCCTGGCAGCACTGCTGGGGATTTTTAGCCTCCCCATCACTTAAAATTCATATTTGGAAGCGGGGAGAGATGTAGAATAATCTGCCTAAGAAAAAAGCTGAACGTTTATAGCTACTTTACAGACAAAACCAAACGCATCTCATATGTCTCACAGGTCTGAGATGGGACAAGGCAGGGAAGCATCTGTCAGCCACTGTCTTCTGCAGCTCTGGCTGTTAATGTTTGCGTAGCGTTAAGTGTCTCCTGCGGAGGAGAACTTAAATCTGTCACAAACTTGGGGCCCGGAGGAGGGGAGAGAAGATATTTTTAAAAGGTAGGTTAAGACATATGCGTTCTGGTTTTTTTATCGCGCTTGCATCAGTGTGTAGTAGGAGTATCTTCCAAAATTTGCCTTTTGAGTGTTTGGCTTAAAAAAAAAAAAAAGGGGGGGGAGGAAAAAAGCAGCTCAGTGGGTCAGGATTGTCCTTTGGCGTCGGGTGTTTTCTTCATGCAGCCTGTCATCAGGGACTTCAGGTACCTTCAGGTAATTAGTAAGGCACAAAGGGTTTCATGATTTACACTATTTGTGAGTAACGTGATTTGCATTTTGCTTGCAGAGTTTGTAAATAGCGTTAGTTAAATGCTCTTCAAAGCCTAGAGCGCTGCTGCGTGTGTGGAGTAGATGGCAATATATTTCCTGAGGGCTGGGGCTCGGATGTGAAACGGCTTTAAGGAGCTACCTACGAGGTGAGATTGTGCTTTTGGTTGATTTGCCCTGGTTTTGATGGCTGCAATCCCAAGATCCAAAAGGTGGTCTTGGACTGGGACCCTGGGTACCCAGCAGAGACTGGGAAGAGCGTGCTGGTCCCTGTGGGTCTCTCCAGGCTCCCAGTTCCAGCATTGAAACCGTGGCTCAGAGCTCCTGTTTCTCACATCACATCAGTGGGTTGGGGTTTTGGTTTTTTTTTGGAAGTTTCCTTTGAGCTCTTGCAATGTAGAAGCTCCAACACGGTTCTGTCCTTGGCTTTCCCAGCCCAGACCACTGACCTCCATTTCCACATCCTCAGTTGAAGGACTTTGGGCTTCAGAAGCCCTTCTGCGTGTGATCCACCCTTGTCAAAGCTGAGTGGGCTTTTGCTCATGCTGCTCCCAGGTTGCTGTGGCTGCGGGACCCCAACGGTGACGTTCCAGGACCCGGTTGCTCCATGGATTTAGGGTCTTCCTTCCCTGCTCACGCCTAGAAAACATTTTAATGTGCCGAATGGATGCACAGGCAGGAGCAACGCAAAGAATTGAAGCTTGGGTTTGTCTTGAAAAAGAAAAAAATGGTTCTAAGGGAGCCTGCTCCTCCTGCAGAGGAAGCAGACCCAGACATGGAACGTGATGCTCTGGTGCCTGAGATTGTTGGGTGTGGTGATTGTTGTGGTGTTGGGGTGTTGGGTTTTTTGTTTTGGTGTTGTGGGGTTTTTTTGGGTTTGGTTTTGTTTTTTTTTAATGATTGGACTCGATGGTCTCAAAGGTCCCTTCCAACCATGAAGATTCTGTGATTTATCCACTCTGCCAGGCAACAAGACAGCGTTAGACCCAGGAGAAGCCTGTCCTTCCTAGACCACAGGCAATGTTTTTCATGTGGGTGCTGCTGCGGCGAGATGAGTGTGAATGATGTGAAGTGGCACAGTCTGGCTAAGCTGGTTTGATTTTTTTATTCCTTCTTTGCCTGAGGCTACTGTGGTATGGATTATGTGGGTGGGTGCAGGACTTAGAATTTTCAGACTTTGGCTCATATATTGAGATTTAGCCCTCCTTTGTTTCTTTGCAGCATAACTTTTTTTTTGCGTGGTGATGGGGACATCTGGGTGTCCCTAATCCTGGGGCTGCTGAAGTTCCAGTATCCTATTTGTCTGTATTTTCTTATCCCTCTCCACTGTAGTGCCCAAGCTCGTGGGTTAGCGGAGCTGAAGGTTCACCTTTCTCATGAAACTGAAGAATTCCCTCCCCAGCTCCTTACCCTTCTGGATGTCAAGAGAGATTTGCAGTACTCGGTGAGATTTGCAGACATGGCTTTAAATGTTGTCAGGAAGCTGTGGGCATCTCCTCCAGGCCCAAATCAGAGGTCTGTGCCCCACTCCATCTCTGCCAGTCACGTCTTGGCTGTGAGTCTCTCTGGGAAGAAGAGTTGTGTGTCAGATGTATAAGAAAATAAACTCTGTAAAGCCCAGAAAGCCCCCCACATCCTGGGCTGGGTATAAGAAAATAAACTTTGTAAAGCCCAGAAAGCCCTCCCTGCATCCTGGGCTGCATCCCCAGCATTGTGGCCAGTGTCAAGAGAGATTTGCAGTACTCGGTGAGATTTGCAGACATGGCTTTAAATGTTGTCAGGAAGCTGTGGGCATCTCCTCCAGGCCCAAATCAGAGGTCTGTGCCCCACTCCATCTCTGCCAGTCACGTCTTGGCTGTGAGTCTCTCTGGGAAGAAGAGTTGTGTGTCAGATGTATAAGAAAATAAACTCTGTAAAGCCCAGAAAGCCCCCCACATCCTGGGCTGCATCCCCAGCAGCGTGGCCAGCAGGGTGAGGGGGGGATTCTGCCCCCTCTGCTCCGCTCTGGGGAGACCCCACCTGGAGCTCTGTGTCCAGCTCTGGAGTCCTCAGCACAGGAAGGACATGGACCTGTTGGAACGGGGCCAGAGGAGGGTCACAAAAATGATCAGAGGCTGGAGAATCTCTCCTATGAGGACAGGTGGAGAGAGTTGGGGGGGTTCAGCCTGGAGAAGAGAAGGCTCCAGGGAGACCTTAGAGCCCCTTCCAGTCCCTCAAGGGTCCCCAGGAGAGATGGGGAGGGACTCTGGATCAGGGAGGGGAGCCATAGGACAAGAGGTAACAGTTTTAAACTGAAAGAGGGGAGATTTAGATGAGATATTAGGAAGAAATTCTTTGGTGTGAGGGTGGTGAGACACTGGAAGAGGTTGCCCAGAGAAGCTGTGGCTGCCCCATCCCTGGAGGGGTTCAAGGCCAGGCTGGATGGGGCTTGGAGCAACCTGGTCTGGTGGGAGGTGTCCCTGCCCAGGGCAGCAGGTTGGAACTGGATGGTCTTTAAGTTCCTTTCCAACCGAAACCATTCTGTGAGTCTACGAAAGGAAAATATTGCACTCGTTCTCGGGTTTGGATTCAGGTTTGTGTTTCTCCAGAGGCGAGGTGACCTGTGAGGCTGGCTTTGTGGATCTGCTCGGGATTCCTCTGGCAAAGGGGGTTCCCTTGGTGGTATCCAGACACTCTGCCCTCCTGCCCCGGGCAGGCAGAGACATGGAGGGGAAGCACCAGCACGTCCACATGAGCTTCTGCATCTGCCATTTGTGTCTCTGCCTGTTTTGCCAGTGGGGAGGAACTGATTTGATTTTTCGAGGGAGCCGAAGAGGAGCAGCAAACACTCACCCTGTGTGATAGGAATCTGGCTGTTTGCTGCAGGCAGCCCCTCACTGGGAGCACCCAGAGGGCTCTACAGCACTCCCCGGTTCTGTGGAATAACAAAAACAGCGAAGGAGTGAGAGAACGAGTTTTATTTCTGGCCTGGATAATTTCTGTTTGGTTTTTGGTTTGTTGGGTTTTTTTTTATTTTATTTTAAGTGAATTGAATGTGCTTTGCCAACATAGAATATCGTTGGGTGCAGGTCCATTTGGGGAATGGCACTCGCAGTGGAGGAGAGGTGAGAGATGGGATGAGAAGCATGTGGGCTTTGGGAGGGCTTCTCTAGGGAGCTGAGGAAACTTGTGTTTGTGTGTGTCTGCATCCCTCTGTGCACAGTGCCATGGCTGCACTCTCTCCTGCTTCAGGGAAAGCTTTACTATTTTCTGTATTTATTTGTTTGTCCCTCTAGGGTGATATAATTGCGTACTGGGAGGCACAGTCACTTCATTAAACAATGAGCTTTTGAGGGGCAGAAACTTTCTTCCAAGGTAGCCTCACCCGGTCAGGATTTACAGCTGCTCTTCCAATAGAAGTACTATCCTAAGTAGTTCTGCTGTCTAAAAGTCAGACATGGACTTTCAAAACTGGTTCACATTCATTCATTCATTCATTCATTCCTTAGCATTTTTTAGTGATGAAAAGCTTTACAGACTTTGGTCCAGGGGCTCTGCCTGCAGAAGACCCGTGTGGGGTGGGGCGTAGAGCACCAGGGCTTTGGTGGCACAGTACCATTTTGCACTGAGGTCATTCCCAACCCAGATGTTGCCCTGAAAACTTTGTCCTTCTTTATTTGACATTCATTCTGTGGAAGAAGATTGTGTGGAGCTAACCGTCCAGAGACACATACTTGTGAGCCTTTCAAATATGTCTTTTTTTTGTCATGAAGTAGGTAGGTATGGTCAGCGCTTCTTAGACATGAAAGGCTTTGGGGACTGGGGGATCTTCATGGGCAGAGGGATATTTTTTTCTCACTCTGCAAGCAAAGCCAGATCTTTCCTCTCCCACATCCTCCTCTTCACATCTGCATTCTCCTCTAGACCTGGAAGAACGCGAAGGGACTTGGCAGTGATCATTATCTCTCACTAGCCCGTGGCTACGTTGCCTTGTTCAGGTCAGAAGTGAGCCCTTCTGTGTAAATAATCTCCACAGGATCTGAGAGAAATAAAAATGACAGTAGGAATGTGCCCCTCCATTAAAAACTGAGCGTGCTGAGGGAATGCTGGTGTTTTGCAGGAAGGACTGAACCAAGGAGCCTGAAGACCATGGAGGGCGACTGTCTGAGCTGCATGAAGTACCTGATGTTCCTTTTCAACTTCTTTATATTTGTAAGTATTAAGAATCTGCTCTCTCTCTTGAAGCCTCCTATTTCCAGCAGCCTGCTGCTCCCCAGCAGGATAGGCTGGGATTTGGTCAAGTTGCCATGGTGCACAACATCCCCTTGGCTTTGCACTAGCAAGAACTGAGGGGTTTGCAGCACCCAGTGATGCTCAGATATTCAGAAAGGCAGCACAGTGGTCACTGTTGGCTGAGTTATTCCTGTCCTTGGACAAGGGAGGCCAGAGGGAAAGCTGGAACTATAGTGTACGTGGCCCGTCTTTGGATGGCAGAAGAAATTGTTCCACCCTCAAGACCTGGGTGCCCTGCTGAAGTTTTCCCTAGGAAACTCAGGCATTTTCATACCACATAAGGAGTCACTCCTGGTCACCCTGTTGCTCTTGACTTTGACAGGAAAGGTGGGAGCCTCCAACCACCCTAGACTGGTGGTGGTGGGTTTCCTGTCCCCTGGGGATGTGGCAGCAGCTGGAGAATCGGTCTTTCAGCGTTAGGGAGGGAGTAAGCGGTAGAGGGATGTGTCGAGGAAGAAAGGTGCTTTTTCTGCAAATGTTTCGTGTAGAGAGGAAGAGATGCTAAGAGCAGCATGGCAGCAGCCACCTGCTCAGCAGTGAGTATGTGTCACGGAGAAACACAAATTCTCCAGGTGAACACTTGATCAAAAGATAGCAGTGACTCCAGTTTCCCTGCAGCAGTTGTTTTATCTTACTCAACCTGGAGCTCTGTGTCCAGCTCTGGAGTCCTCAGCACAGGAAGGACATGGACATGTTGGAACAGGACCAGAGGAGCCCACAAAGATGATGAGAGGCTGGAGCACTTATGCTACAAGGACAGGCTGAGAGAGTTGGGGGGGTTCAGCCTGGAGAAGAGAAGGCTCTGGGGAGACCTTAGAGCCCCTTCCAGTCCCTCAAGGGGCTCCAGGAGAGATGGGGAGGGACTCTGGATCAGGGAGGGGAGCCATGTGTGAGGGTGGTGAGACACTGGACCAGGTTGCCCAGAGAAGCTGTGGCTGCCCCATCCCTGGAGGGGTTCAAGGCCAGGCTGGATGGGGCTTGGAGCAACCTGGTCTGGTGGGAGGTGTCCCTGCCCAGGGCAGGGGGTTGGAACTAGATGGTCTTTAAGATCCCTTCCAACCCAAACCATTCTATGAGTCTACGAAAGAAAAACATTGCGCTTGTTCTCAGGTTTGGATTCAGGTTTGTGTTTCTCCAGAGGCGAGGTGACCTGTGAGGCTGGCTTTGTGGATCTACTCGGGATTCCTCTGGCAAAGGGGGTTCCCTTGGTGGTATCCAGACGCTCTGCCCTCCTGCCCCGGGCAGGCAGAGACATGGAGGGGAAGCACCAGCACGTCCACATGAGCTTCTGCATCTGCCATTTGTGTCTCTGCCTGTTTTGCCAGTGGGGAGGAACTGATTTGATTTTTCGAGGGAGCCGAAGAGGAGCAGCAAACACACACCCTGTGTGATAGGAATCTGGCTGTTTGCTGCAGGCAGCCCCTCACTGGGAGCACCCAGAGGGCTCTACAGCACTCCCCGGTTCTGTGGAATAACAAAAACAGCGAAGGAGTGAGAGAACGAGTTTTATTTCTGGCCTGGATAATTTCTGTTTGGTTTTTGGTTTGTTGGGTTTTTTTTTATTTTATTTTAAGTGAATTGAATGTGCTTTGCCAACATAGAATATCGTTGGGTGCAGGTCCATTTGGGGAATGGCACTCGCAGTGGAGGAGAGGCGAGAGATGGGATGAGAAGCGTGTGGGCTTTGGGAGGACTTCTCTAGGGAGCTGAGGAAATTCGTGTTTGTGTGTGTCTGCATCCCTCTGTGCACAGTGCCATGGCTGCACTCTCTCCTGCTTCAGGGAAAGCTTTACTATTTTCTGTATTTATTTGTTTGTCCCTCTAGGGTGATATAATTGCGTACTGGGAGGCACAGTCACTTCATTAAACAATGAGCTTTTGAGGGGCAGAAACTTTCTTCCAAGGTAGCCTCACCTGGTCAGGATTTACAGCTGCTCTTCCAATAGAAGTACTATCCTAAGTAGTTCTGCTGTCTAAAAGTCAGACATGGACTTTCAAAACTGGTTCACATTCATTCATTCATTCATTCATTCCTTAGCATTTTTTAGTGATGAAAATCTTTACAGACTTTGGTCCGGGGGCTCTGCCTGCAGAAGACCCGTGTGGGGTGGGGCGTAGAGCACCAGGGCTTTGGTGGCACAGTACCATTTTGCACTGAGGTCATTCCCAACCCAGATGTTGCCCTGAAAACTTTGTCCTTCTTTATATGACATTCATTCTGTGGAGGAAGCTTGTATGGAGCTTAACTGTCCAGAGACACATACTTGTGAGCCTTTCAAATATGTCTTTTTTTTGTCATGAAGTAGGTAGGTATGGTCAGCGCTTCTTGACATGAAAGGCTTTGGGGACTGGGGGATCTTCATGGGCAGAGGGATATTTTTTTCTCACTCTGCAAGCAAAGCCAGATCTTTCCTCTCCCACATCCTCCTCTTCACATCTGCATTCTCCTCTAGACCTGGAAGAACGCGAAGGGACTTGGCAGTGATCATTATCTCTCACTAGCCCGTGGCTACGTTGCCTTGTTCAGGTCAGAAGTGAGCCCTTCTGTGTAAATAATCTCCACAGGATCTGAGAGAAATAAAAATGACAGTAGGAATGTGCCCCTCCATTAAAAACTGAGCGTGCTGAGGGAATGCTGGTGTTTTGCAGGAAGGACTGAACCAAGGAGCCTGAAGACCATGGAGGGCGACTGTCTGAGCTGCATGAAGTACCTGATGTTCCTTTTCAACTTCTTTATATTTGTAAGTATTAAGAATCTGCTCTCTCTCTTGAAGCCTCCTATTTCCAGCAGCCTGCTGCTCCCCAGCAGGATAGGCTGGGATTTGGTCAAGTTGCCATGGTGCACAACATCCCCTTGGCTTTGCACTAGCAAGAACTGAGGGGTTTGCAGCACCCAGTGATGCTCAGATATTCAGAAAGGCAGCACAGTGGTCACTGTTGGCTGAGTTATTCCTGTCCTTGGACAAGGGAGGCCAGAGGGAAAGCTGGAACTATAGTGTACGTGGCCCGTCTTTGGATGGCAGAAGAAATTGTTCCACCCTCAAGACCTGGGTGCCCTGCTGAAGTTTTCCCTAGGAAACTCAGGCATTTTCATACCACATAAGGAGTCACTCCTGGTCACCCTGTTGCTCTTGACTTTGACAGGAAAGGTGGGAGCCTCCAACCACCCTAGACTGGTGGTGGTGGGTTTCCTGTCCCCTGGGGATGTGGCAGCAGCTGGAGAATCGGTCTTTCAGCGTTAGGGAGGGAGTAAGCGGTAGAGGGATGTGTCGAGGAAGAAAGGTGCTTTTTCTGCAAATGTTTCGTGTAGAGAGGAAGAGATGCTAAGAGCAGCATGGCAGCAGCCACCTGCTCAGCAGTGAGTATGTGTCACGGAGAAACACAAATTCTCCAGGTGAACACTTGATCAGAAGATAGCAGTGACTCCAGTTTCCCTGCAGCAGTTGTTTTATCTTACTCAACCTGGAGCTCTGTGTCCAGCTCTGGAGTCCTCAGCACAGGAAGGACATGGACTTGTTGGAACGGGACCAGAGGAGCCCACAAAGATGATGAGAGGCTGGAGCACTTATGCTGTGAGGACAGGCTGAGAATGTTGGGGGGGTTCAGCCTGGAGAAGAGAAGGCTCCAGGGAGACCTTAGAGCCCCTTCCAGTCCCTCAAGGGGCTCCAGGAGAGATGGGGAGGGACTCTGGATCAGGGAGGGGAGCCACAGGACAAGGGGGAATGAAAAATGGGAGATTTAGACTAGATATTAGGAAGAAAAAATGGGAGATTTAAACCAGATATTAGGATGTAATTCTTTGCTGTGAGGGTGGTGTGACCCTGGCCCAGGTTGCCCAGAGAAGCTGTGGCTGCCCCATCCCTGGAGGGGTTCAAGGCCAGGCTGGATGGGGCTTGGAGCAACCTGGTCTGGTGGGAGGTGTCCCTGCCCAGGGCAGGGGGTTGGAACTGGATGATCTTTAAGATCCCTTCCAACCCAAACCATTCTGTGATTCTGTGTTGACCTGTCCCCCTCTCTCTCCTCTCCCTGTGCCCTTGCAGCTGGGAGGAGCGTGCCTGCTGGGAGTGGGGATCTGGGTGATTGTGGACCCCACAGGTTTTCGAGAGATAGTGGCTGCCAACCCTCTGCTCTTCACGGGGGCCTACATCATGCTGGCCATGGGAGCGATGCTCTTTCTGCTGGGTTTCCTCGGCTGCTGCGGGGCCATCCGGGAGAACAAATGCCTCCTGCTCTTTGTAAGTGTTCCTTGTCTTTTCTGTTGGCCTTTAGTGTTTCCCAAGAACGGGGGTGACTGCATAGTCGATGCTATAGTAAGTGCATGAATAGGTGTATGTTATTTAGCCATTATTCCTTTAAATAAATAGGTTTCGGGCACTTTTACATGCAGCTAGAAATACAGAGAATTTGCTTCTTCCCTGTACCAGTCTTGAGCCTGATGGATATGGAGTCTGTGGAGTGTATTTTGACTTTGTTAAGCTTCGTTTTAAAATGATCTATTTTTGTTGGTTTGGGGTTTTTGGTTTTGTTTTTTTTCTTTTATAAAGTGACCAAAATCGATTCCCTCTTGCCCAACCCAAACCCCCCAGCTCCACTTGTGGATTCATTCCTTACTGGTTTGCAACAAAGCAGAGGGAACACATTTTTGTTAAGCTTTGTTTCAAAATTATCCTATTTTTGTTGGTTTGGGGTTTGTTTTGTTTTGTTTTGTTTTTTTTACTTTTATAAAGTGACCAAAATCGGTCCCCTCTTGTCCACCCAAAACCCCCCAGCTCCACTTGTGGATTCATCCCTCACTGGTTTGCAACAAAGCAGAGGGAACACATAGAGCAAAGCATCAGTGCAACATTGGCAGAAATGGTGGCCTCACGTCGCGGCTCTCAGCAGCTGGTCACTCCCCAGTACAGCCTGCTCTGCTCCTAAAATCAACCAGATTTTCTTATCTTTGGGCAATTTCCCCCCTGAATGATAGGGTTAAATTTCAGCCCACGTGGGCGACGAGTACTATTTGCAAAGAATAGTACTTGCAATTCTAAAATAAGCCATTTTTGACCTCTACCGTAAGTTGAGACTGCAGGGTTTCCAGCCATTACCTCTTAACTGGAGAAGGCATTACTAGTAATGTGTCAAAATGCAAAGATCATTATTTTTATTTTTGTCAAACGTGACCTTTTGTTTCTCCCTCTGGCTCTGGTGGGTTTTTTCGTTTGTTTCTTGGTTTGTTTTTTTTTTTTAAATCTTGATCTTACCATGTTTTGTTATGATTGTATCTTGTGCAGCTGCTTCACAGTGCAGAAGAGGCTTGTCTCTAACCTTAAACATGACAGGAAAGTCCACTTTTTTTGACCATTAAACTGTTTTTTCCTAGAGATGAGCCTGGCTCCACTGAGATAAATTCTCTCCGGCACTTGGCTCGCCCACCCCTTGAATTCATAGCCTGCTCATTAAAGCCCTTTTTTTGGAAAGCATTGTGAGTTTGAGTTTTAGTGACTCGTGTCAGAAGGAAATCAGAAAACCAAATGTATCGCCTTTGAAGTCATGGAGATCTGCCCAGAGGAACCTAATAAAATGCAAAGGATCAGGCCCAACGAGCCTGAGGTTACTTCAAAGCTTGTCCCTGTCGGTTTAAGAAACTAAAAGTTAATGTTTGATGAGAAGTATTGATTGTCAGTGAATGGGAGAACAGCATTTTCAGCTTGGACCATGTCTGCTGCGTACGGGCTGGGGACTTGGCTAGAAGAAGGGAGCTCTGGGCCATGCTCTTTCCTGATTTAACATCGTAGAGTTACATCATGGTTTGAACGTTCCTCCTGGTGTTTTAGTTACACTCTAGACCAGGAGAAGCTCTAAAAGTCTGGATGAGGAATTAGCATTCTGCTTTGATCAGGTCTTCCAGGGATTGTGGTATCCAAGTCAGCTTCATGAAACGGCCTGCCATCTCATGTCAGTGAAGCAATTCCTGCTTTTTTTTTGGGGGGGAAAGGGGGCACACCAGCTGATGTTAAAACACCTAAAACATCTGTGAAACCAGGAGTCTGATGGGAGTAAGTGTTAGGTGTTGAAAAGGCGAACCATTGGTGAGTGTATATAGCCCAAGAGCCTGGGGACATCCTCCAAAACAGAGAGCGTTAGGCGTTGGGGGTCAGGGGGGGAGGATGTGTGGTACTTGGGAACAAGTTGCTGGATCAAATCAAGTCCACTTACCAAGTTGTTAAAGAATTGACGAGCTGCAGAGCTGCTCGAGTGAGACTTCAGCACGATGCATAATGTATATCCGAAGCTTTTAGTCCAAATGTAAACAGAAGATAGAAGGGATGAGACGGATGCACAGATGCGTGTTCTCGAGGTTCTGGCTCCTGTGTCTGCAAGGACTTTCATTTTTCATTGAGCTGCCTGTCTTTTGGTAAAAAACATTCTGTGGAATCTAACATGTCGCATAAAGCACAAGCGTTTCTGGATTTCCCAACATTTGGACTTGGCTCACAAAAAGCAACAAACGTTGGCCTGCAAATCAGACACTGAATAACTTCTGGATTGTCCTGAAGGCCCTCTGACTGCAGAAAGAACGCCATAAAAATCAGAATCCAAAGTGCTGTTGAGCCTACAGCATTTCACCACAGGACTGGACTCCACTTTGTGACAAGAACAGTCGGCGTTGGCTTTGTTTGGCTGAGTTTTGAGTGTAGACATCCTGTTTTGTACTCCTTTAAAATGGGTGCAGTAGCCCCCAGGACTTTTCAGCCTGGAAACGTGGGGTCCTATGTGCTGCTCTCTCTGGAAGAGCGTCGCTGAAACGGGAACAGGAGCCAAGTTGTGAACAAGAAACGTGAAATGTTGAGTTGTGGGAACTTCTGCTGAACCTGGAACCACCCCCAGGAGCTGAGGCAGGAATTTTGACCAACGTGGAAGACCCCCCAGCTCCTCGAGATGTTCACCTTGGATGTGGGGGTTACCCGTGTCCACGTGGGGGTCTCAAGCATGAATTTGAACGTGAGGCTGACAAACCAGTTGGCTGTTCTCTCGTATTTTGGTAATCAATTCAATTTTGGGAGGCAAAACATAATAAGCAGATTTTGACTCTCCTTAAAATGCAGAATGGGAGCAAGTTCTGAAACACTGATGATCCGTCGTCTTCTTCGTCTCATCAGCCTTAATGGCTGCTCGTGGGGTTTTTTTTTTTCTACAGTAACTGTTAGAAATCTGTAACGCAGACTGCACAATGTAAGTGTGAATCAGTTTGGGAATGATAATGAATCTTATCAGAGATAATCTGGGAATGGCTGCTTCCACTTCTGCACAGACCTGTGCTGGAGCCTGGGTGAACATGTGTCTCCCAGTAATCAGTAAATGAAATGCAATTAGCAGGGCGATGGGATTAATCACTTGATCACCACCTTAGACCTCTTAGTGACTACGCTGAGATCCCTTGATGGATGATGATGTGAATTTGCAAAGCAACGTTCATTCTCATCACTTGTTCTTTGCCCTCCTGTGGTGAAATTAAAAACAAAACAGTCTCTGAGCAGGGAAAAAAAAAAAAAAAGCCACTGCAGAAAACTCCAGCAGTAAGAATAAATTATAGAGTTAACTAGTTCAGCAAAATCCAGCATTCCGTTGGCAACCGGGAGTCCCTGCTCTTCTGACTCTTCTTGTTCCAGGCTTCAATAACCCCCTCACACACACACACACACACACACACACACAAAAACCCAACCATCCAGACTTCTCTTGTGTCTGTTTCTGCTTGTTGCTTCAACCACCTTCATCGGTCCCATGTACCACATGTTTATTGCCCTCCACGTGATGCGGTTGTACCGAGTTCTCTCTTCACTCCTGTTTTTCTCACGGGGTGCCAAAACCTGAGTTTGTTTCTAAACGTTCACTCCGTTTTGTAAAATAATCTCTGAATCTCCGGCTAATTCTTGGGATCCTTTAATTTTAGAAGAGCTGACTTTCAAGTGGTGATTTCTCTTTATGGCTATAAGGACATAAAAAATGTCCATCTAGTCCAGACTTACGGTTCCCCAAGCCCACTATTTTGTCTCCAAGAATGGAAATAAATGCCACTTTGGGAAAGGATGTGAACCTGGCCACTTTCTGCTCTCTTCCATAAGAGTTCCTCAACACCACCATTTGTTGTGCTAAGGATGTTAGAAGGCACCTCCCTGCCCGTTCCTTTCACTGTTTGTGTTGGAATGAAGCAGCATCAAACTCGCGTGAGGCATCAACGTAATTGAGAATCGGTCCCAAGGACAGGCTGAGTCCTGAGCTCTTTGATCATAGTCATCTAGGTTGGAAGGGACCTTCAAGATCATCTAGTCCAACCATCAACCCAACTCTGACCAAAAAAACCCCATCACTAAACCATGTCCCCCAGCACTATGTCAACCCATCTTTTGAACACCTCCAGGGATGATGTCCCTGAGTGCTTTCCTGCTCTGGGAGATATGTTCCCTTCAACATTCTTTTCCTCTCTCCTTGAGTTTACCAGTTTTCTGTTGCCTCCAGGCAGTAGGGTCTGAGGTGGGAGCCCCGCAGGAGCCTTGGTGCTCATCCCAGGCAGGAAAGCCTCTACAGCACCTGAATGCTCTGGAGAGACAAGATCCTGGGGGCAGCTCCTTCACAACTCAGCATCACTCTCTGTGGGGATGGAGACCTCTTCAGCACATCTGATCTACCAAGGCACGGTGAATCGCTCAGGCTTGGTAGCATCACAGGAACAAGATGCCTTCCACGAGACTGAAGACCAGCCTCTTAGACCAAAGCAGCAGAAGGTTGCAAGGGCAACAGGATGAAAATACAGTTCCAGCTTAAACTGAGAACCACGTGCCTCTCTGTTCTCACTCATCTTCCCTAAAATTATGATGACATAAGTGTCACGATTTTACTTCAGGCTGGATGCCTGGTTCTCTTTTGCTGCTACTCAATCTGCTGGCTGTTGCTTTCTGTCAACGTGCCCTTAATTTAAGGCCATGGATACACACGCTTTGGGTGCTGTATGAGAGATGGATGATACTTGCATAATCAAATTAAAACGAGGATGGGGTGTTACCAACTTTCTGTAGAGGTCCTGCATGGTTAATACTTAACTGAGTGCAACCCCATTGTGTGGAGGGAGGTATTAATCATGGCTGGTTTTGTCCTGAAATGCAGAATACTCTGAAAAGAGGCCATTTTTTGGTCACAGGTATGAATATTTGAGTATGTGTCCCACCACCTCCTTCCATGCAAAAAGAGCCATGAGCATATTACTGTAAAATTGGTGATGTGTGGTCAGTGATGTGTGTGCCTGTGTGTGTCAGGACAGTTTAACCCTGTACAAGCATCTATAAAATCGTAAACTTTCTTTTCCATCAAAGCAGGCTAATTTTTTTTTAATTATTTTTCTTTTTGCATCTTCTCTCTCCCAGTTCTTCATGTTTATTTTGCTGATCTTCCTGGCGGAGCTTTCAGCTGCCATCCTGGCTTTTATCTTCAGAGAAAATGTGAGTATCCTACAGCGGGCAGACTCTTGAACCCCGGTGGGATGGTACCCAGCTGGAGGACAGTGTTAGATGGTGGCTGACTCCTCTGTAGAGCAAAACTGTTGGTTCCAAATACCCACAACCCTGTTTCGTTGCTACCCTCCACCTGCAGAACTCCCAGCAGGGCAGTGAGTGCTGGGGGGTGGACACTGGGGGGCTACTTCCATCCTGAAGTTTTTAGAGTCTTCCCGATGCTTTTGCAGCCAAACCAGCTGCACATTCCATCAGAGAGAAGTTTTATAATATGGCACACTGAAGTTAAAAGCAGCTCTTTTCCTTTTTTTCAATATAGCATGTGTTTAATATTAATGTTTAATAGTGGAGCCTCCTGTTTTCCCAACAGAGCCAATGCTTGGTCCACAGTGAAAAAACTCTCCTGTACTCTAGTCGTATTCCTTCTTGAATTTTCCTCTCAATGCTGCTTGTGAGATGCCCCTCCTGGCCTGCCCTGTCCTGTTTTGAGTCCCATCAGTGGACTCCTTGCGTATTGCCCTGCTTACAAGTTTCTGGTCCTTTTCTCCACAGCTTCATAGAATCATAGAATTTCCCAGGCCGGAAGGGACCTCCAAAGGCCATCTAGTCCGACCCCCCCGCAGTCAGCAGGGACACCCCCAACTAGACCAGGTTGCCCAGGGCCTCGTCGAGCCTCTCCTTGAATATCTCCAGGGATGGGGCCTCAACCACCTCCCTGGGCAACCTGTTCCAGTGCTCCACCACCCTCACAGTGAAGAACCCTCTCCTGATCTCCAATCTAAATCTGTTCCCCTCCAGCTTGAAGCCATTGCCCCTCGTCCTGTCACTGCAGGCCTTTCTAAACAGGTTCTCCCCAGCCTTCCTGTAGGCTCCCTTCAGGTACTGGAAGGCTGCTATTAGGTCTCCCCGGAGCCTCCTCTTCTCCAGGCTGAACAACCCCAGCTCCCTCAGCCTGTCCTCGTAGCAGAGGTGCTCCATCCCCCTGATCATCCTTGTGGCCCTCCTCTGGACCCTCTCCATCAGGTCCGTGTCCTTCTTATATTGAGGGCTCCAGACCTGCACACAATACTCCAGGTGAGGTCTCACCAGAGCAGAGTAAAGTGGCAGAATCACCTCTCTGGACCTGCTGGCAATGCTTCTTTTGATGCAGCCCAGGATGCGATTGGCCTTCTGGGCTGCAGCTGCACACTGCCTGCTCATGTCCAGCTTGGGCAGTGGATGTCCCCTTTCTCTACTCTGATGCTGTGCGTGTTATTATGTGGCCAGCATCCCTCCCCTATGCCACTAGTAACCTTTAACTATACTAGTGTAAGCACTTGTTTGATTCTCTAACCAGCAAGGGTTTGGGATGGTCTTTTTCGTGGTCCCACACGTGCAGGAAGAGCCTGACCGAGCCAGGTCCAACCTTCTCAAGTCAGCCCATCTTTGCAATAGAGCCATGGCTGTGAAAAAACATTGGCCAGCAGAGAAGGTCACTTGCCACTGTATTTATCTTGTTTGTTTGTTTGCCCTCTGCCAGTAGGGAGAGAACATACAGTACATTCCCTGTGCTGAACATGAGCTTAGAAGGGCCATGGTATAATGATGATTTTCTTGAGCCAGGATATAATTTTCATTTTATTTATATAAAAAGATTGTGATAAGCGAAGAATCAAGGCTTGGGAAGCTCAGAGCAGGACAGTGCAGTGTCTGTGCAGTAGGATGATCTCAGGGGGAGATCATGAGAGGATTATTTTTTTTTCCCTTTATAAGCTGGTGGACTTTTGTTTTTTACCTGAGCTCTGAGGGCAGTGGGGAAGGGAGGGCACTCTGCAGTGAGTGGGTGCCCCATTCCAGCTTAAGCTTTGAGACTGGTCCTCACAAGGACGGCTTCTGCTCCATTGATGGGTCACAACATGGTGGGGTCTGGTGTGTCCTGGTCATTACAGCCCTGCTGGAAACTGGTGAAACACAAGGAGCTTGTGGGGTCACTTCGAGTCCTGCCTGTAGGGTGATCTCTTCCCTCCATCACCAGGATGCTTGTGTCTTGCTTCTGGGCAAAGTATCAGTGTCTTCTGCTCCCATCAAAGCTGTGGGACGCGTGAGGACACGCTACCTTGCAAAATAAGGTCGTGGTGGTTATTCTGGACTTCCATGGCATCTGGCGGTGTTTTGTGAGATAAGGCTTGTAAGGGGAACAAAATCCTCTCTTTCCTGAGCTTCTCTCCTTGCTTGCATCAGCAGGTTCCCACTCTGTCAGAATGACTGACAGGAAAGGCTTAAATGGGAGGGAGTGAAGAACGTCAGATCCCAACATAGCTGGAGATGGCTCCGTGCAGGAGTTAAACTCAGTCTGAAAACTCTGGTGGTTTGTTCTCTCCTCAGGTTTCTTCTGAAAAACAAAACCACCAAAAAACCAAGCACACCACCCTCGTTTTGCTGGTGCTATATATTATGGTGGAAGCTCCTCTGGTTTGTTAATTATTGTGGCTAGTTTTGCTGTCATCTTTGGGTCAGGGTGAGACTGGACGGCCAAACAGGTTGTCCATGGGGACAGTGACTGTCCCTCAGTGAACCCGTGTAAAGAAGAAGTCCTCGTAGTAGCAATTTAAGGTCAGGTTGAGATGAGCTTTTCTCTTCCCTGCAACACAAGTGGCTTTCAAGGCAGGTGAACCTGGTGAATGCACATTTAGGCAACTTAAATTTCTTGGAAACTTACCAAGTTAGGTTCCTGTGGTGGTCATTGCACCAGCCCACGTGGCTGTGGCCTCTCTGGGTGTATAAAAATGAGCAGAAAGAGAAAGATACACTCTTATCTGTTCACTTTCCGGATAATGTTCAGTGCAGCTTTCTCTTGTGTTGTGTGTTACATCCAAACCAGCTCCCAAACACCCGGCAGACTTGAATTATTAATAGCTGAGAGAGTGAAAGAAATTAAGAGACAAAAATAAGGGAGAAACGAGATGTTTTCTGCTGAGATTTGACATGAGAGGAAGAGTCAGTGGAGCAGAGCGTGGGGTGTGGGAAAAGGGGTATTAGTGGTGGTGAGCTACTGAGATCTGCAAGTCCAACTGGACCCTCAAAGAACTATTTAAAAGCAGCTGTGGGAAAGCCAGAGCTTCTCTTCCTTTGTAAAGGACGTTTTGGAGGGTTGAGAACCCTTTTCATCTGCAAGACCCACTCCCATAAAGTAACATCTTCCAGGAACAACAGAGAGAGGTTGGGGAAGAGGTTGGAACATAAGAGACTTGTGTTCACAGAATCACATGGGGTTGGAAGGGACCATCTGGAGATCATGCCTTGCCAGTGCAGGTCCACCCAGAGCAGGTTGCACAGGAACGTGTCCAGGTGGGGTTTTGAATGTCTCCAGAAAAGGAGACTCCACCACCTCCCTGGGCAGCCTCTTCCAGAGCTCTGCCAAAAAACATGCACTGCCCATCCCTCAGTTAGGAAGCTGGAGTCTCATAGGTGGAAAACACCATGGAAGGAAGAAGTGGAGGATTGTGACTGGTGCCCAAGCACTGCACTGGCTCAGGGACGTTGGGATGCTCCTGGCAGATGCAGATGGACAGGAGTATCTCCATGAAGCCAGCTTCTTGCATGGCATTCCTTGGCCCAGTGAGGAGAAGGAATGACGTGACAAGGATGGTGAGGGGTCTGGAGAATAAGTCTTATGAGGAGAGGCTGAGGGAACTGGGGTTATTCAGCCTGGAGAAGAGGAGGCTGAGGGGAGACCTTATTGCTCTCTACAACTCCCTGAAAGGAGGGTGTAGAGAGGTGGGGGGCGGTCTCTTCTCCCAAGTCACAGGCGACAGGACGAGAGGAAATGGCCTCAAGTTGCGCCAGGGGAGGTTCAGGCTGGATATTAGGAAAAATTTTTTCACCGAAAGGGTTCTCAGCCATTGGAATGGGCTGCCCAGGGAGGTGGTTGAGGCCCCATCCCTGGAGGTGTTCAAAAGATGGGTTGATGTAGTGCTGGGAGGTATGGTTTAGTGATGATGCTCCTTGTTTGTTGTGTGGGTGTCTATTTTTGTCAGTTAGGTTGATGGTTGGACAAGATGATCTTTAAGGTCCCTTCCAACCTAGAAGATTCTGTGATTCTGTGATACACATGAGAAGGCTGTCACCTTCCTGGCCAGTGCCACCGTGCCTGTGTTGTACAGAAACACCCTTTTTTTTCGTAATTCCCTTTCATCTGGCTCTAGTAAGCCCAGCCAAGCTAGTTTTTGAGCCAGTTTGACAAAAAAACAAGAAGTCCCACTTCATTCACTTGGCACATAGACGTACACGTGCGTGTGCTTTTTCTCTGCTGGAGATGTTCCCCCCGACAGAAGAGCTAGAAAAAAACCACAGCTCTTTATTTGTTCACGACTGTGGCTGGCAGAACTGTGTTGTGAGAAGCGTGTGAGAAGATCTGGGTGTTACCAGTAGGTCCCTTGCTCCCTTCTTGCTGTGGTGCTCCAATGTGCAACCACCTCATCGGCGCCCTTACGAGGAGGGGGGAATCGTGGCCACGTGAGCAGGACTCTCCTACTGACTTTCATCCTCCTCTCTTGGCAAGTTTTTAAAAGAAGAAAGATGCTTCTGCTGATTGATTTTCTTTTTTTTTTCTTTCTCTCCTTCTCCCTCCTTCTCCCTCCTCCTCTCTCTCATTATTTCTTTCTCCCTTTCTTTCTCCCTTCCTCTCTTTCTCTATTTCTTTCTCTCTTTATTTCTTTCTCCCTCCCTTTCTCTCTCTCTTTCTCTATTTCTTTCTCCCTTTCTCCCTTTCTCTATTTCTTTATTCCTTTCTCCCTTTATTCCTTTCTCCCTTTATTCCTTTCTCCCTTTATTCCTTTCTCCCTTTATTCCTTTCTCCCTTTCTCTGTTTCTTTCTCTGTTTCTTTCTCTGTTTCTTTCTCTGTTTCTTTCTCTGTTTCTTTCTCTGTTTCTTTCTCTGTTTCTTTCTCCCCCTTTCTCCCCCTTTCTCCCCCTTTCTCCCCCTTTCTCCCCCTTTCTCCCCCTTTCTCCCCCTTTCTCCCCCTTTCTCCCCCTCTATTTCTTTCTCCCTTTTTCTCCCTCCTTTCTCCCTCCTTTCTCCCTCCTTTCTCCCTCCTTTCTCCCTCCTTTCTCTCCCTCCGCAATACACACATTTTTCTGAGCTTCAGATGCTCGGGACAAATAGTTTAAGAGCAACAAAAGTGGGATCAGTTATTTTCCTGGCAAACTCACCCTTCCAGCACTAGGCTTTGCTTTAAGCCAAGTCTCGTAAAAATCACACACAAACTCCGAGCGGTTTCCTCTGGGGTTGCTGCTGTCAAAATAAAGGTTTCGCTTTATGTTTAAGTGACTCTTTTGTTTTAGGCCCCGCCAAAGGCAATCGGCTGGGGTTATTACCAATGGTAATATCGGTTTCAAAGTCCGGGGTAGGATGCTGCCTGGGTAAAGTACGCAGAGAAAGGGAAGGAAAGAGGATTATTGGAGAATAAATCTTATGAAGAATGATTGAAGGAGCTGGGGCTGTTTAGTTTGAAGAAGAGGAGGCTGAGGGGAGACCTCATCACTCTCCACAACTGCTTGAAAGGACACTGTAGAGAGGTTGGTGCTGGTCTCTTCTCACAGGTAATTAGCAATAGAGCAGGAGGGAACGGCTTCAAGCTGCACCAGGGTAGGTTTAGACTGAACATTAGGAAACAATTCTTCACAGAAAGAGTGGTCAGAGACTGGAACATGCTGCCCAGGGAGGTGGTTGAGTCACCATCCCTGGATGTGTTTAAGAGTCTTTTAGATGTGGGGGATACGGTGTAGGGGAGAACTTTGTAGAGTAGGGTTGATGTTTGGACTCAATGATCCCAAGGGTCTTTTCCAACCTGAGCGATTCTATGAAAGGAGAACACTGAGGACATATTTCAGCATCTTCTAACCTGACCTTCTTCCAGTGTGCCAAATTCCCAAAGGAAAAAACCATGCCCTCTGGTATTTTAATATTCAGAAGGAAGAAACGGGTTAATATCTTGTCTCATAAAAGTGATTTAGGAATTTAGCAGCGTATCTAATTGAAAGGTAGTGAGATTGAGCTACCTGCGTCATTCAGGTCTTGGTGACAAAGTTTTAGCCAGTATTGATTTATTTTGGCCTTAGTTTGCATTTGTAAAAGAGAAGTTGGTATTAAGTTGTATTCGGGGGTCTTTGAAGGAGTCGTCGCAGTCTTCTCTTCTTTTTTTTTTTTTTTCTTCCTTAAATTTTGTGGTACAGTTACAAAGGAAACGATTTTGTGCTCGTGCTTTTGTGCCCACCCATGAATCTCCTACGTGTGTATGAGGGTGTGCGAAAACGATTTTGTGCACGTGCTTTTGTGCCCACCCATGAATCTCCTACGTGTGTATGAGGGTGTGCGATATTTCACGTTGCGTATCGTGAACGTGGAACCAACTCGTAGCTGTCTGTGGCATCTGTATGAACAGGAGAGAAAAAAAAATTGGGTTCTTTTTTCAGGCAGATCATTCCTGATCCGTCTGTGGCAGCTGTATGAACAGGAGAAAAAAAAAATTTGGTTCTTTTTTCAGGCAGATCATTCCTGATCCTGCAAATATGCAACCTTAGAGCAGTGCTGGATCCAGCTGAGTCCAGCCTCCTTCGCTGGGGCTTTGCGGCAGCTCATAACACGAATCCACAGTGTATTTGGGAGAAGGGACCACACAAGTCAAGACCTCTTGGGAACCTGAAAAGGGGATTCCTTGAAGTTTTCATCCTGACACAATAGAAGGGCAACCAGATTGAATCAGGGCGTTCAGTTTAACAAGGGTATTGAGCTCGTGTATTTATGAGTCCTCCCAAGAGTGAGCCTCAGTAAATGTAATTTCAAGGTGTCTCACTTTTTTGAGAAGACTCTGAGCCAAAGGGTTCGTTCAGTTTTTCTATTTTCCTGTAAATGTAAACAGGAGTAAATGAAATTCCATTCCTTTATATCGTTGACCTTAGGAAAAAATATTTAAATAATCTAAACGCTGGAAATATAAAGAGGATTTTTTTTTTTTTTTTTTACTCCACGTGTGTGGGTTAGTTTAGGTAAATCTAAAGCACTGTCAGGGAAATGGTCTTTTTTTCCCCTCATTCATAAGTTGACTCGAACACGTCACATTCACTACATGTTTTTTACTTCCTTTTTGTTCCCAGAAAGTTTCATATTAGGGCTTCATTCTGCTTTCTGACATGTGGAAGTAAATTCAGAGCGGTTCCCCTGCCGTTCGTAGGAAGTTAGCTGGTTTAAAATGAAAAGTGAGGGGAAAACCATGCTTTGATTGCAGACCTCGTGAAGATTAGTAAGTTAGACTACTATTTGGGTGTGGATTTGAAGATCTTCCTAAAATCTGTTTTGGTCCTGTTTCGACTTAGGGAACACTTTCAAATAGTGCTGAAAATTTAAAAAAAAACAGCTGGCCTTTAAGTGTAAAGTTAAGTGTAAAGTTGTAAAATCTTAACACAATCATTCAGTCCCTGATTTTTTATAAGCAACAGTTTTATTCTACGGGTACCACTCGCCCTGGATAAAGCTATGATTCAGCCAGTGGCTTTTCCCATGTTAGTCCTCTGAGGTTTGCCAAAAAAGAAAAGAACCAAACCAACCAAGCAACCAACCAACCCCCAAGGGGAGGTTTGGGAAGCGCTTGGGGATGGTTGTTGGTAATAACCTTGACTTTTCCACCCGTCTGTGCGTTTCAGCTGACCAGGGAGTTTTTCACCAAGGAGCTGAAGAAGCACTACCTGAGGAACAACGACACGGACGTCTTCTCTTCCACCTGGAACTCTGTGATGATCACAGTAAGTCACACGTGGTTGACATGGCGTTGGCCAACACCCTCAATCTCACCCAGGGCCAGCCTCCTTCATCCAGTGTCCCTCATGGTGTGTTTTCAGTGTGGACATATTGGCCATCAAAATTGACTGTCATGGGAACTGGAGGAGTTGTTATCTGCTACAGGTGGTTCCGTAGGGGTGTGTGTACATCCACAGACGTGCAGTCAGTGCTCAGGGCAGCCCACGGTGTCTCCATCCCTCCAGGGGTGAAGAAGGGGATGCCAGGCTCTGCAGATGAAAAGTCAATTCTAATCTTAAAAGAAGAAGTTGATTGCTGCCCTTCGTGCTGAATCAGGACTTTAATAAAGACGTTTCCTTTGGCTGACTGAAAGGAGACAGAGCCAGAGTATGACTTGAATCCTTAAAAAGGGCCTGACTTGAATCCTAAAAAGGGACTTCAGTTGAATCACCCAGCAGAGCCTTTGAGCAGCAGCAGTCCTGACCATGAGCCGAGGGGAGAAGGGGTGGTTGGGAGCCAGGATTGTGCTGCTGGCTCCTTACAGACTGGCTGGGTGTTCTCAGGAAAACCATTGGGGATGCGCTCCCCAAGGCCCGTGTAGTTTGTGGCAATATTCCCAGTGGTACCTCAGAGTCTACAGGACAACATGGGAACAGTGGGGCTTGGGTAAAAAGGCTTTGGTGAAACACAAGCTCCGAGGTACAAGCACGACTCACTTCTTTGGAAACAACAGTTGTGTTGTCTCTGCTGTGACTGAAGCTTTTCACAGAAAAGCTTTCGGGCATTGGAACAGGCTGCCCAGGGAGGTGGTTGGGTCACCATCCCTGGATGTGTTTAAGGGACGTTTAGATGCAGTACTGAGGGATATGGTGTGGGGGAGAACTTTGTAGAGTAGGGTAGATGGTTGGACTCGATGATCCCAGGGGTCTCTTCCAACCTAGATGATTCTATGATCCCTACAAGAAGAGGTCTTTGCTAGATTTCTCGTATCTGTTTTCAGGGCAGAGTGTCAGCTCTGGATCCCTACAAGAATAGGTCTTTGCTAGATTTCTCATATCTGTTTTCAGGGCAGAGTGTCAGCTCTGTCTCCCTTTCTTCTCCGTGCCCTCTCCCTCCCTAGTTTGCCTGCTGTGGGGTGAATGGACCGGAAGATTTTGAAGCTGTCCCTCATCTTGCCTACTCTCCTTTGGAACCGGCGATACCTGAGGCTTGTTGTCAACGAGAGCTCCAGAGCCGGGAAGGGATGTTTGTCAACAGGGAAGCCTGTCTCACGGGCATCGAGAGGTTTCAGAACCGACAGGTAAGGGAAGCTCAACACTGGGAAAAGGAGTTTCCCAGTGGGAAACACCATGGCTGGGTGGTCCTGGGTAACGAGGCCAGCAGGTCCCACCATCCCGACTGTAGCTCACTTCCTAATCACACCTCTGCTGACAGCTTTTGGAGTCACGGCGTATTGTCTGGTTTTGAAAACCCCCTTCCATTGTGTGCGCTGCCAAGTCCATCAGCAGAAGCACAAAGATTTTTCCCAAGGGGTTGAGAGGTGGCGTGGAAATTTGTGTCAGCTTTTGTTGTGTTTCTGAAGGTTAGGACTCTCTCTGATAGTCCGTGAGGATGGGATGTAGTTGGCCCTTACTGGCTGTGGTGGTGGCTCCAGTTTAGTTCACAAAGACTCCTCGCCACCAAGAGATCAAGGGTTAAACAGCCACAGAAAACCATGTCTGTTTCCCAAGGGGGGAAAATGTTGGAAAGCTGCATTTCCCCGTTCCTTTCCTCTTTAGGATAGAAAAAGGGCATCTCTTTTGCCAGGCCTCTTGACTTGGCAATTTTTTCCCAAGACAGTTGAGCACAATGTCATAGAATTATACACTGGTAGAATGGTTTGGGTTGGAAGGGACCTTAAAGATCATTGAGTTCCATCCCCCTGCCCTGATGGGGGGTCCCACTAGACCAGGGTGCTCAAAGCCCCTTCCCCCTGCCATGGCGGGGGGTCCCGCTAGACCAGGGTGCTCAAAGTCCCTTGGATCTGCTCACCCTCCTCTCAAGGCCTCACCTGTTGGGTCTGCTCACCCTCCTCTCAAGGCCTCACCTCGAGGGCTGTGGTCAGTTCTGGGTCCCTCACTACAGGAAGGACATTGAGCTGCTGGAGCGTGTCCAGAGAAGAGCCACCAAGCTGGTGAGGGGTCTGGAGAACAAGTCATCCGAGGAGAGGCTGAGGGAACTGGGCATGTTTAGTTTGGAGAAGAGAAGGCTGAGGGGAGACCTCATTGCCCTCTACAACTACCTGAAAGGAGGGTGTTGAGAGGTAGGGGTTGGCCTCTTCTCCCAAGGGAATAATGACAGGAGCAGAGGGAATGGTCTGAAGTTGGGGCAGGGGAGGTTTAGATTAGATATTGGGAAGAATGACTTTCCTGAGAGGGTGGTCAGGCCCTGGAACAGCCTGCCCAGGGAGGTGGTGGAGTCACCATCCCTGGAGGTAATGAAGAAAAGTGTGGATGTGGCACTTCAGGACATGCTCTAGTGCCTGAGATTGTTGGGTTGTGTTTGTTTGTGGGGTTGTTTCTTTTTGGGGTTTTTTTTGGGGGGGTTTTTTTTGGTTGGTTGGTTGTTTTTCGGGGGGAGTTTGTGGGGGTTTTTGGGGGTTTTTGTGTTGGTTTTTTTTGTGTTTGGACTCGCTGATCTCAAAGGTCCCTTCCAACCATGAAGATTCTCTGATTCTTTGTAGCCAGCTGAGTGGGGCGTCCTCAGAGTTGGGTTAAGGTTGGAGTTCTGGCAAGCACCCAGACATACTGCCGCTAGGCTGTGGATGCTTTTCCCTGAAAATTGGGTTGAAATGTGGCCAGAACGGAGCTGCTGCTGAGCGGTTTCTTGTTGACAAGGACGTGGTTTTCACAGCCTGGTTACAGCCCCCCTGGCTCTGCCTCGTGAGTGGGTCCCCCCTGCGCTCTCCCTCGTTCCCCCTGGTTTTGTCTCACTCCCCATGAGCAGGGTCTGGCATGGGCACCAGCATGTTGTCCTGGCTGTGCTGTCTTTGCATTTTCTTTGTTTTTATTTTGGGGTGGAAATTAAAAATCAGGTGATTTGGAACACCCCAGCAGTATGGATGGGGTTGAATGTCTGTGTGTGAAGTACGTGCTCAGTGGGGAGGCGAGCTCCTTTTTATGTTGGACAAACTCTGGTCTATTTTAATTTTTACGTGTGACCTTTACATTTGAGGAGATCCAGAGAAGGGCGACAAAGCTGGTGAGGGGTCTGGAGAATAAGTCTTATGAGGAGAGGCTGAGGGAGCTGGGGTTATTCAGCCTGGAGAAGAGGAGGCTGAGGGGAGACCTTATTGCCCTCTACAACTCCCTGAAAGGAGGGTGTAGAGAGGTGGGGGTCGGTCTCTTTTCTCAAGTCACAGGCGACAGGACAAGAGGAAATGGCCTCAAGTTGCCCCAGGGGAGGTTCAGGCTGGATATTAGGAAAAATTTTTTCACTGAAAGGGTTCTCAGCCATTGGAATGGTCTGCCCAGGGAGGTGGTTGAGGCCCCATCCCTGGAGGTGTTCAAAAGACAGGTTGATGTAGTGCTGGGAGGTATGGTTTAGTGATGATGCTTCTTGTTTGTTGTGTGGGTGTCTATTTTTGTCAGTTAGGTTGACAGTTGGCCGGGGGGTTGGAATTTTAGGCTGGGAGAACTGATGTTGGGATATTTCCTGGCCAATTTCCAGAAGCATCCTGAAATCTTTGTGCAGGATCTACCTGTTAATTCTATAAATGACGTTAAGAGGTGATGGTGGCTACGCTGCATAAGAGGAGGGATTGCTGTGGTGCGTGGCCCTGAGTTTGTAGTGAAATTAATTCTCCTGTGTCCAGAAGATCAGCAGGTGTTCATCCGTGCTCCTTTGGGTGAAGGTGCCCAGGTGTACCTCTGGGTCTGACGAGGGCTCTGCTGTGAGGACAAGGCCATGTGCTGCTCAGCTGTGTCTCACCACCCTTTGTCCTTCCTAGGGCTGCTACACTGTCATCCTGAACTCCTTTGAGACCTACGTGTACCTCGCAGGAGCCCTGGCCATCGGCGTCTTGGCCATTGAGGTACTTTCTGTTGCCCAACTCAAAGAGGAGCGAGCGTGGGTAGATGTCCAGCAGTGAAGCCAACGGGGAGGTCCTCCCCTGTGCCAGGGGAAGCTGCCCCTGCCCAGTCCCAGCGAGTTACCCACTCCTGGGTTGTCCTTTGCCACCAGAGGCAGGGAGATGACGGGTACTGTGGGCCTGCAGTGCCGCCTCGTGTCGGCCCCACCACGGAGCTCACCGCTGACCACGGGGGCTCTGGGGGACCCCACCTCCTGCCCTGGGGCTCCTCATCGCAGCAACACCCCCCCGTCAGGCTGTCACTTGGTGAAAGTGTTCAAAAATGCTTTAAAAGCTTCTTGTTAGAGCCTGAAACTATTGGCTCCCGGAGCATTGCCCTCACCCCAGCGTTGGCATCTGGCTCTTTGGGGATGTTTCTGAGGAACGGTCTTCCACCAGACACCACGTGAGCCTGGAAGCCATGGTCCCTGCTCTCCCCAGTCCTGTGCAAAGGAGGAGGAGCAGGGCAGAACCCCAGCAGCCCCCCATGGATGCCCCGCTGTGCCCACTCCGGGCAGTGGGAATGGTGTGGAGAGCAGGGATAGCAGAGCTTGTGGCACCCGGGGTGGTTTGGGAATGGAGCCAGGCTGCTGCTGCAGCCACAGGCACTTCAGGGGAAGGAGGAGAAGGGGTCGCCTTCAGGAATAAAGCTTTCCCCCTGGGTGGTGGGAAGGGTCCCCCTCTCTTTGCCACTGACTGCCAGGGAGGAGGGAGTGATGGGAGTGGTCCTGGGGCCAGGGGATGGCTTTACAGATCTCCTGGAAGATGCAGCTGACTCTGGTGGTGCTCTGTTTTGTTTTTGCCCTCTTCTCTCTCCCCCCCCTTCCCTACCTTCCAGTTGTTTGCCATGATCTTTGCCATGTGTCTCTTCCGAGGGATCCAGTAAGACATGAACCACCACGTTCCCCACGTACTCAGAAGAAAGAAGGAAAATCAGAAGAAACGAAACCTGGAAACACCCAAAAAAAAAAAAAAAAAAAAAACTTTTATTTTTTTCTGCACACTAAAGACTGAATTGCAACTTTGAATTTTTTTTTTTTTTAAGGAAAAAAAAAAAAAAAGAGGGGTTGTAATATATGAATGACCAAAAGGATTGTACTTCAGGGGCTGGAACTTTGAGGTGATGTGCACTACACTGTACACGGGACCCTTGCCCAGAGCCACCCGCAGCAGCCGTGGGGCAGGAGCCCAGCACAGCTGATTGCACTAGAGAGGGATGGAGCCGGCGGGGACGAGCCAGGAGGATGAGCACAGCCCCCTCTCCTGCCAGGCCCTGCCTGCCCTCCCCAGCTTCATCCTGTTTGAGACAGCGAAGGACTGGAGGACACCCCCGCGGGGACTGGATAAAGCAACGGGTTGGCCCAAGTCTGTGACTGTCCAGGTGGGTTCGAGAGGAGTCGCGGTGGCTCGGCTCAGAAGCAGGTTGCTTTTCTATTTCTGGCTTTAATGCCCAGCCACGGAATGAAAACACAACGTTTTTGGGTGCAAGCTTTGCCCCCGTCACCTGGAACTTCTCGGAGAAGGCAGGCACTTCGGTGAGGTTGGCTTTTTTCTGGAGCCCCAGGCAGGAGTGGTCTCTCTCAGCGATGGGACTCGGCTAAGGCTGGCTGATGGTCAAGAGTTTGGTGCCTAACTTTCTGTTTTTACTAAAATTTACTGTTCTTTGTTGTGGAAAAGAAAGAGAGGTAATAGTTCCCTGCTGTGCTCCCATCTCCTGGGACAAATAATGGCTCTGGTCAAGAATCTATCGATAACTGCTGCCTTCCTGGGAAGGGGAGGAGATAGTGGTTAGATCTTGATGGCCTTTGCCTTTCCCTTCATACTTGCAAAAAAAAAAACCAAAAAAACCAACAAAAAAACACGCTTTGTGGTGCTCTGTTAGCATAAAAACTTGCAGTGGATTCCTACGGTGCTTTCCAGCCTTAGGGGGAGTCCCAGGTGTGGTGCTGGATGGAGGAGGCTGAGGTTTGTCAGCTGGTCTTGTTGAAGAGTCTCACGGCGACGTTTCTCCTGGGAGGGTTTCCCCCAAGATCCTCCCGTGGGCTCCTGATGAAAGCTTCAAGTTGGAATTGTTTTGGGTGGGAGTGGTTCCTCCCTAGAGAACGGCCTGGTGTTTCACTAACGCTGTCATCTGCTGAACCGTTTGGATGTGGAGATGCCCAAGGACTGGACCTTAGTTGGAGATGAAGATGGGACCGGTGGGGCCCCCGGTGGGCTCCAGGAGCACCCAAGGCACAGCCCAACCACCAGCTGCACCTCCAGCCCTCGTGGTTATCATCGACCCGGACGCGTCACTGGTTTCTCTTCCTCTGGAAGCCTCAACCCCTGTTGCCTTAATTGTTCATCTGGTCACTCCCCGACCCCAAACTCATTGATGGGGGGGGACAACGACAGAAAGGGCCATGGTTTCTTGTTTAGCTTAGGGCTTTTTACAGATTTTTATAGGCTCGCATTATGGAGCACTTTTATATGGGCTTAAACCAGCAAGAGCTGGGAAGGAAGGGGAGGGGGCAGAAGGCAGGAGTGATGAACCTCACGCTGGTTTTGGCAGCAGCAGATGCCCTTTGCCTGGCTGTTCCCTGGGGCTGGGACCAGGTTGGGGAATCAGGATTTTAAGAGGCATTAGAGCTTTTTCAGGCTTCATCCGAGAGCAGCAATTTGCCCGTCAGCAGGAGAAGGGCTCGGCAGGTAGAGCTGACCCCCCTGCCAGGGCCACCATCAGCATATTCCACAAGAGAGGGGGAGGCCAGGGCTGCTGAGCGGCCTCAGATGTTGTATTAAATCCCATGGAAAGCTTTGCTGAACTAGTTCCTTCTGCATCTGCTTCTGGTGAGGTGTTTTAACATTAAATCCTGGTTGTTTAATGAAGGAAAGCACGTTTCGCTAGCGGGAACCCAGCAGTATTTCTGCTCAAGAGCAGGTGCTGTGCTTAAAGAGAGGGAAAAGATGAAAAAAAAAAAGACCTGTTGCATCTCCTCATCTTGCAGAGAAGGGTTTGAGCAGGAGGAGACCTTATCTGGTCTGCTTCTGCCTCGGGAGCTGGTGTCCACAGCTGTCCCAGGGGAGGAGCAGCCCCAGGAGCAGCAATGGTCCTTTGGCTGGAGGTGAGTGAGAGAAGCACAACTGCCTCTCCTTAGCTCCATAATTCTTTTTGTTCCCCCCTTCCTTTTCCCCTCCGTTTATTCTGCAAAGCCCTGGCTGCTCTCAGGGTAAAACCTGGAAGGTGAACACCCTGATTTGTGGGTGGTGGGTGGCTGAAGGAGGGGAGGGAAAGAAAAACAAACAAACAAACAAAAACCAACAAAAAAAAGGCCCTTAAAGCCTTTTTCTGCCACCGGTGGCACGAGGGAAAAGCTGTCAGAGCTGGGGGGGGGACTGGACCAAAGCAGACAGAGTGCCAAGTCATAAATACACATGCCCAAAGCAGGATCTCTGCTGCCTTGTTCCTCTTTGGTTTCCCCAATTCTGTATTTAACTGTTTTGCTGGTTTTTATCTTTCTCACCATCCCTCTGTCCTTAATGGTAGCCCCTGTACCTTCAAAAAAACTCCCTTATTTCTCTGTTATTCTGGCTTTCTCCTCTCTCCTCTTTTCTGGGTGGTGAAGGCTTCACATCCTCTCTGCAGCTGGCCAGCTGTGCCACGGGGAACACAGCCCCGAGACCCCCCCCATCCCCCCAAAAAACACCCAGGCAGCACCTTAGAAACCAGCAGGTAGAGAGAGAGAGATGTGCAAGTCCCAGGGGACCTGTGAAAGTGGGTAAGAAGCAGAAGGAATTTCCCCCACACCCCTTTGGGGGAATTTAATGATGGGACAAGCCCAGAAAGCAGAGACCCCCCCCTCTTAGTATGGCAAAGCGTGTGAATCCGTTGGGTTTTTGTCCCTTGGCTGCCCCCTCCCTTGTACAATAGTTTTCAGAACAGCAGGCAGGAGAAGCGACTGTATTTTTATATTTGGGGGGGTGTTTTTTTGTTTGTTTGGTGTTTTTTTTAACAGCTCTGGTGGCTATTTGGGGGGTCAGGGGCTTGGGCCAGCTTGGCTGCTGGCTGGAGAACCCCCAGACAGGCTGGGGACCTCCTCCATGGCTGGAGCATCCCCCAGTAGGACCACCTTGGCTGGAAGGGGTAGAGAGCAGCCCCCCCAGGTGCCCCT